AGAGCTTAAAAATAAGACGCCCACATGATTATCAGCCAACACCTGGAATGACCGAGAGTAATCCGGTGACAAACTATAATTCTGGAATGACATTAGATATGAGTATGAGAATATTTATTTTCTCTAGGATCAAAATATAATTTTTAATTGAATTTTTTGTTATAGTGAAATATGATTCCAGTTCATTTGGTCTTGGAACAGTTCCAGGTTTGTTTTATACTTTAAATAATTATATTAATTTAATATTTTTAGACATTAATAATTGTTATGTTTTTTAGATTCACCACACAAAATATTTATTGGAGGATTACCAGCATACCTTAATGATGAACAGGTAAGTCATTTCTGTAATAAAATATCTAGCCCAATATTTTTAGCATAGTGGTCCATCATTAGCAGAGGTACATTAGGTCAATACAAAAACATGGTTTGAGAAGAGGCAAAAATATTGCTAATTTTTTTTCAATTTTTAGCACAGAAATTTCAGGTGTTATTTTTTGTTTTTTCCAGAAAATATGTTCTTGTTTTGTGTATTAAAATATAACAGTTTAGATTTGCAGGGACCTGGGGTATTTATTTAGGGTCGCTGTAAGAACATGGATTCTCCTTGCCAGTCTTTTATTGACTTTTCATTATGCTTGTGATACATTTACTTTACTTTCTGTCTGAAAACAAATGTAAGTAAAAACAAAATTGAGAAATTTTAATGAAAAAGTAAAAAGTAATAATTGTTCCTCTGCTATACCCCTTGCCCTTAGCTAGAGTACTTGGTTGAAAATGAAACTCTCGTACAACTGCTTCGTCTGTCCAAATCGAAATACAGGCAAGTGGTGTTTCGGAATATTACATTGGTTATATACTTATGTATAGGGACGAAATTGTTCTTCTGCTTTCTTGAATAATATACATACAACTAACAAGAATAAATAAAACATCTGTCTTTGTGTACATATTTGAAATGTAAACTCTAAATAATAAGTTGATAATTTCTAATGAGTAATAAGCAATAATATTAAATAATAATTCATTTTTTTTAACAAGTTTTGTGTTACTAATTTTGAATAAAAATATTTTAAAGCAAATAATCTAAAATTTGATTTTAATCAGAATCTACAATTGGAGAATTTTTGATAATAGTAAAATGTATTTTAGGTATTGTACTTGGGAAATAAAGAACATCAGCACATACGCTTATTAAATTAACTATTAATTAATGAAATAACTCATGACCACTCGCTCAGTTTTTGGTACCACCTTATTTTCTTAGAGTAAAACTTTAACTCAGTATAATAACTTGTTAAAATATATATATTAAGCAACTCTAGGACGAAATACAAATTTTTTTTAAAATCTAAATTATTTTATTTATCATTATTGCTAATTAGAGCTTATTACTGGACAGTATATGGTTCAAATAAAATAGATGTTGTGACAAAATATATATTTCAAAACTTTTGTATAATGTTCAATACCGTTTACAATCTCCCCAGTTGGTCATGTTGAGTTTGACTCGGGTAAATTTTTATCCTGCACAAATGGTTACCACAACTTAAGTAAATATTAATAAGAACTAAATTAGTAAAAATTTGAAAAAAGTAGTTTACCTTAAAGAATATTTAGTATTAAGTCTGCTTTATTAATATATTAATGATTTATGCAATTATATGATAAAGCATACGGAACAATAGTAAAATAGGTTTAATAATCCGTTAGACCGCATGATGCGGCTGGCCAATGAGAGCACCGTTCATCAAAAGTCAAAACTGATACATTTATTATTATATATTTTTATATTTGTTATATTATCATTATTATACTTATTATTCTGTAATTATTATCTTATATAAATTTAATTATGTNAAAATAAAATAAATATTTAAAACTTTAATATAAGCTACAAGTTCAATGTTTAACAGGAAAACATTTTAAATTTAATTTTGGTTTATAACAAGTAATTGTAATTAGATATTTGGAATGTAAAAGTGTTAAAAAAAGTACAATATTTCATATAGAACACTTATAAAATTTAAATAAATCAATACTTTTCTCTATTTTTTTTTTTTTTTAAATTGCATACCGTTTATTATTACGTGATTAACAGTATGGGATTTCTAAACAAATATTACTAAAGGTTAATTAGTATCCAACTGGATATAATAGATTTTAAATTATTTTCATTATGATAGGTGAAAGAACTACTTACATCATTTGGTCAGTTAAAAGCGTTCAATTTGGTCAAGGACGCTGCCACTGGTTTAAGTAAAGGTTATGCGTTCTGCGAGTATGCTGATGTAGTGATGACTGATCAGGTAAAATAATTGACTACTATCAAATATTACCTTTTTAGTCATTGTTTGCCACAAAAATTAATTATTTAACTTTTGTAAGTATAGGCCATTGCTGGTTTGAATGGTATGCAATTAGGAGAAAAGAAATTAATTGTTCAAAGAGCCAGTATTGGAGCTAAAAATCCTGGGCTTGGTCAAGTACCTGTCACAATTCAAGTCCCTGGACTTACAGTTGTTGGGACTGCAGGACCTCCCACCGAGGTAAATTTTTTTTTTTAAGAACATGCAAAGTTAACACTTTTAAAATCATTATAATTTGCAGGTTTTATGTTTACTGAATATGGTAACTCCTGATGAACTAAAAGATGAAGAAGAATATGAAGATATCCTGGAAGATATTCGTGAAGAGTGTAATAAATATGGTGTTGTTCGGTCACTAGAAATTCCACGACCTATTGAAGGAATTGATGTGCCTGGTTGCGGAAAAGTATTATTTTTATTTTTAAGTTATATTTTTTTAAATATTTGAAAAATGTTGTCTTCCAGGTGTTTATAGAGTTCAATGCTATTGTTGACTGTCAAAAAGCACAACAAGCTTTGGCAGGCCGAAAGTTCAACAACCGAGTTGTGGTTACTTCTTTCATGGAACCAGACAAATATCATAGAAGAGAATTTTAATTACAATAAACTTAAACTAATTTTACAACTATTTGAATTTTACAACATATTTTAAGTTACAGAACCCCCACAATACTAAATTGTGACTTTTAAACTAGTTACATTAATCCATAGATGCGTGTTTTTTTAATTTTTTTGAAAAATTATTTTATTTGACTTGTATATTACCTGCAATAAAAATATGAAACAAAAATGATTCCACTTATTTGAATGGTTTTTTGAAAATATGTATATAATGAATAATGTTTCTCATGGAAACAATTGGTTAAGAGGACACCACACCACTAATAATTTATCAATGAAAATGGTTTTGAGGGCACTAACTTCAGACAGTATGTATGTAAAGTATTGTGTTGAACCATTTTTTTTGTTAATTATTATTATAGTGTTAATTTACAAAAAAAAAAAAAACTGACAAAGTAAATCTATTGTAGTAACGAGTCTGTAATTAATATGCTCATAAGTTTGTCTCACCTAAGACCGTTTTTCTGTATAATTCTCATTATTTTGCAACAATCATTGTTGGTTACTGACATAGGGCCACTTTTTAAATAATTACTATATTTATTTAAGATAAACAACCCAAAAATTCATTAAATTAAACCTCTTAAATAGTGAGTGTGGTGAACTCATTTTTATAGATTTTGCCAGTATCAATTTTAGTTCTAAATACAATGAAAAATCCAAGTTTTTCAAACTGAATATTGTTAGAATTGTAATGATATGTACTATGTATTTATTTTTTGAAGCTTAATTTATAAAAGTTAAATTTCCAATGTGGGCAAAAATGTATCAGGTGGCATTTGAAGCACTTGTCATTCATCCCTCGAAGTTGTACTTTTTTCCATTTTAATTTGATTAATAAAATGTGTATTGTACTACAACGTGTAATTATTAATAACATGTGTTATTGTAATTATTGTAATAGTAATAATAACCAATTTAAACAGTATATTAAAAGCAACACATTTTATATTTGTAGAAAGTTTTATTATTATTTATAATTATTTCCACCTGCCCATAATAAAATAATGAGTATAAAAGAAAAAAAATTTACTAGGTATTTAATTAAGTTTTTGGTTTGTTGAGGCCACCACCCCCCTATTTGTTGTCTCCGTCCGACAACTAACAAGTGTGGAATAGCAAATTTATGCTCAGTAATTCAAGTTAAACTTCATTACGAACACAGATAAATAGATTATGTCTCTACGTCTACCATCATAACACTAACTGGTTGATTCACTCAAATAGTTCCAGTCAAATGTGAACTTCTGAGCGTAAATTGTGTATGTTGAGCACTTGTAGTCCAACACTCCTACCTCTGCGTGAATCCAGCGAGTGTAGCAAAAAAACCAAAAAAAGGATTTTGTCCCATCAGACACATCTCAGTATCTCACTGAGGTGGAACGGCAGAAATCAGAATAAAAGCGAAAGATTAAGTTAGCTAAAAATTGTTTATGCAATAAAGCTCTTCTAAGAAGCAAAAGAAAGGGTAATTCAAATAAAGACTTAGTTCTAAATATAGTAGATTTAAGATGTACTTACTTCTAACCTAAGACCTAAGTCACTATATTCGAAATATAGGAAGACTTGCCTGAGAGGATATAATTTCCACAATAATGATTTGCTCAATGATCTTTACGATATCGTTCTAAAAAAAAAAAATAATGGTAAAATCTACATTTAATACATTGTGCAAAACTTCAATGCAAAAATCAATAGAACTTTCAAAATTGGGATATTCATACTTAACTCAAACCTATTACCTAGTTTATTCGTAATTCGTATAACACTAAATACGAATAGTCAACAGGTATTACGTAATACGTATGTCGTATTTTTGAATACCTATTGAATTTAAATAACGATTAAAATTTCGTGGTACGTATAAATATGTCTATGGTAAAGTCCAAGACAATGGTATGGTCAGTGTGTACAGTATTATAATATAATATATTTATATGTCTATGATCACAGCGAGAAATCATTCGCGTGTTTGCAGTCAGTGATGTTGGTAGCTCTGGTTTTCGGCATCTTTCGTTGACATCAGTTATCACGTGCAGTTTCCCGTCTTTTTCCAAACCACAGAATATTTATGTTTTGATGCTAAAATACTATATACCGATTCTGTTGTGAGCCCTAAGCTTTTGTATTTTTTACTATTTGTTTCACTTTCGTCTTTCAACTCGTACGAGTTAATAACCACCGAGTACCAATTATTGGAATTGAACACGTCACATAGCATTCTCAGACGTAATCATGAAATTAGTCAAGTAAGTTGATAATTTGGTTTTACCCGCGGACGCCGGTATGTTATTTCAATAAATTGAATTTCGGGACTAACTTGATTCCCGAAAGGTTTTCCTTGTATTATCTACCTTATTTCTAACATGATTTACATGCTCGGCTAATTAATATATGGCTGTAACATCTAGAAAACCTCATTAAAATAAACCAATAACTGTTGATGACTGTTATGTTTACTAGTTTACTATTCATTCCGTGTTGGTTATTAGTCGCCCATATGTAATATTGTATCAACTGGAATTATCTAATAAATGTAACAAGATTTAGAAAAATGCCTTGTAAAGTTGGTTACACGCTAAACTAATATATTCTTTATTTTATCTGTAGGTAACAAAATATTGGTACCACACTACCTACAAGTTGAATATTGCATTCAACTTTTCCCTACATAGTATAATGTGAACCACACAATTTATATTTATATTCTTATTTTAAAAATGTCACTTAAAATAATATCAATTTCAGCTTAAGTACACAATTATTATTGTTAATATATATATCAGGTCCTACCTAGCATTTTATTAAATTCCTGAAAAAAAATTGTGCTCTAGAAAACATTGTATACCTGTATTATATTAAAAAAAAATATATATTTTAGCATTATTCAGTAACAAAAATATTTATAAATGCCAATACCAGTGAATTGGTTATTAATCTTATGAACAAGATGTTGACCTATTATTATTGCACTAGGCTTCCATTTTTAAATTCCATAAATAAATTGTTAAAGCATTTTCTGATGACCTATTTTAACCTATAGTTTAGAGATTACCAAATTGTGTAATAAAAAAAATTAGTTTTATATTGAATAACTATAAATAACTAAGAACAACATTTAAATACCTAATAAATGGAGTTCTTCAGGATATGTCTACAAATTTAATTTTAATAATAATCAATATTATTTTAGAATAGTATGAAATAATGACTCAAGTACCTAATATTATACATTAAAACAAATTTCTTTGTCATCAGTTAATTATAAAGCATATTTTAATTTCGTTATTTTTTAATAAATAAAGCCTATTACTACATTTGATAATTTGTTTATGTTACAGATTTTTGATGAAACTCAGTCATGAAACTGTGACATTAGAACTTAAAAATGGCACTAGTGTTCATGGAACTATTACAGGTAAGTCAAATAGTTTATTGAAAGTTAATATTGGCAATATTGATATATTTGACTAAAAACATATTTAATGTCAAATAAAACAAAATTGACTGATGTAATATAATGTATTACATCACTGTGGAAGGTCGAAATTATAGCAACTCACCAGTAAATGGTGATGTTTTAAAATATTACCAACAAATTAAAAAATAACCAAAATTTATCCTAACAATAACATGTTTAATTACTTATAAAATGTATTTACTTAATCAAGTTTGGAGGATGTTGATAGTAATTTATTATGATGTCAACTTAAAACTATTTTAAAAGATACAAAATATATACAATATTATATTATCAAATGCATTAGTTAAAATTATCTTACACTATTAAATTATTTTTATTTATAGTTATCTCTAGATTCAAAATAATCAGTGATTAGAGATTTGGAACATTAAGTACTCTAACAAGTCTTACTAATAAATAAGTAGTCTGATATTGTAATTGTTAATTTTAATATTAAAAGCCACAATTGTTTTATTATAATAAATCTTTAGAATAACATCATAAATTATAGCATTCATAATATAACTTAGTAGGTAGACTATTAAACTTTAAAAAAAAAAGCATAAAAAATATTTCAGTTATACTGTATTGACATCAATAATTGTATTTATTTATTTTCTTTTAGTAATATGGAACTAAATGTATAACATTTATATAATTTTAGGTGTTGATGTAGCAATGAACACTCACCTCAAAGCTGTTAAAATGACTGTAAGAAATCAACAACCTATACATTATGAAACACTCAGTATTCGAGGTAACAACATTCGGTACTACATTTTACCTGACTCTCTTACTCTTGAAACCCTGTTAGTTGATGATGCACCCAAATCACGAATGAACCGTGGCGGACGAGGAGGTCGTGGAGGTTAGTATATTTTTTTTCAGAGATATAACTAGTATTAATTACTTGTAAATTAATCAAAATACATTGATACTATTATTGTTTTAGGTCCAGGAAGAGGTGGTCGTGGACGTGGAGGTCCTAGAGGACGAGGAGGTCGTGGAGGGCCACGTGGAAGTGGTGGTGGGCGTGGGCGAGGTGGTGGACCCCCCCGACGTTAATATTTGTGTAATATGTTCTAATTCAATTCAAACTTCTGTGTATTTTCAAATTTTTATTTGCTCTACATTTATTTAAACTAAATTTATCAAGTTTAATAATAAATCGTCTCATATGTATAAGATTATTGTCTAATACTTAATAATACATTTAATAAACAGTACAATATACCTAGTATAAATGTATTTACTATTAGTACTGATCATATGACTTATTATTTGGTAGGTATATAAAAAAACCTTTAGTTAGGTTGTCATTTATGTAAAAGTTATCATATTTTTTAGTTCTCTTGGTTTTCTTTATATTTTTAAATTTTCAATAGTCATGACTCATGATCATCTGAACTAATATTTTTTTTAAAAGACATATAAATTGTAATAAGCTGTATACTCCTGATAATTGTTAATAACAAAATATATTATTCTCTAAATATAGAAAGATGTATATTATTTTTGTATTTGTCAATGTAGAAGAAGTGTATAAACTATAAATTGTTTTACATCAAATAATTATTTATAGTACTTCAGTAAATTATTTTAATGAAAACTTTTTTTATCATATTGCATGTATTAATTGTGATGTTAAATTATAATAGTAAGTCTTAGCTTTTCCTGTTCCCTTCATTATAAATTTATAAATATTAAAATAAATGTGATACTTTATAGTTAATCCATTTTTTGATACCACTCTACCCCACTTAACCGGGGCACCAGTAAAGCCCATCAATTTTCTGACATAAGTAGATTTTATTAATCAAATTTAATTTGTCTTGAAGAGGCTACCTCTGATAGCGGTGAAAATGCGGACACTAGGTTCTCCTACCTGAAGCAGTGGTTAAAATGAGTCTCCTTTAACAAATTAGAATTAGTATTATTCAGGGTTAAACTTGGGATAAGCATTCTTACACCTTATGGCTTATACATGAAATGATATATGTAATGCTTAAAAGTATATGGAGATATTAGCCCCTTTGGACTTTAAGCTCTGTGAACACAGTGGAAAACAAAGTATCTTACCATAAAAATTATTATTTTAATGTAATATACAATAGATGGATGGAGATCCTTGTGCCAATACTTTTTGTTTTACTTAGGACGCCAATATTTAATGTATGTATTAACCTATGTATTAATTTAGATCTACGATAGTTTTTATTTTGGACTTATTATACTATTTACTTACAAATAATTGAAAATGGGCTCGAACAACCTGTAATTGTACTTAATGTGTTTAAATACTGAACATTTTTTTTGCTACTTTCCTAAACATTCCTAAGTAAACAAACATTTTCCATTTTTCTGGATCTAAGTACATAGACATTATTATTACATCCAAACTTAAAAGATCATTAATATTGTCTAAATTGATAGTATAATTGAAGTAATTAAATTAAAGTATTTAAAATGTTCTTTGTAGCAAAACATATTCTACTATGTTTCTCAACAATATTTTAATAAGATTCATTGATCATGGTCCATGGTTATGAAAAAGTATTAAAAAACATTGATAATTATGTTTAATTTTATGCATATTGCTATTGTATATATATTATATACTCTGCGGAGTGTAGACTTTAAGAGCATGGCCAAATAACATGGGAAAAAACTGGTGTTAAATAATACTTTGGAAACTTAACAAATACATTTAACAATCACCATAATGTTTACAACAGGGAGTCAATTAGGAATTCTTCTGAACTATTTTAATTCCAAACCTCTGAATAATAATATTTTATAACTAAATTGTAACTTATTTATTATAATAGTATTTAACTATTTTACAGCTTGAAATTCTAAGGTTTAACTAGACACTAATAATTTAGGAAAGTTATGACACATTGCAAAACCATAAATATTTAATTATAGTTTTCACAAAAGATAAAAGATGAATTTCCTGAACTTTTCTTGATTTTTTTTAAAATGGAATAGAATTAAGATAATTTTGTCAGCAATACTATCGTTCAAGAACGATACATTTATTTGTGTCAATAATTGTTTACAAAAATATTAATATTTCCTTCTTCTGATTATATCGGGCTTCCAATTAATTGGATGACTTTCTTCAGTCTAAAACAAATACAAAAATATTTTTAAATTTGTAGTTTAGCTAGGTAATTATTACTACACACAATTCTTAACTATATAAAGATAAGTTATTACTATCCAATAATGCAACAATTATAAATTATTTATGGTAAATTTATACAAAAAAGTATTGAGAACTCTAATAAGATATTAAAATTGGAAAAATTCAAGAAAAAATAAAACATGCATTTTTTGAAATATTTTATTCAAGCTTTTAAGCTTTTAAAAATTTAATTATAAGTTGTAACAAAGTTTGAATACGATTCAACTTTAAGAAAAATATATAATTTAACTTCATGAAAATTAAAATTTTACCCTTATTAATAAATAATATTGCTCCGTTAAAATATAATAAAAATAGAAATATTCAAATTTAAATAGATTAATGACTGTTGGTAAAGCATCACTTAATAAAATAGTATACCAAAATGTATTGTAATAAATTTATAAATGTTTTAGTATTGTAGTACAACATATGAAAACAAAGACGGTTTTGGTATTTAAAGTAAAGTAAAACCAATTGATTATCATTGATCCTTAAGATTCCTAGTAATATACTTACAGCGGTATCATCTTCTCGATAAAGTTTTATAGTTTTATCAGCTTCAGCGGTAATAAGTCTTGTACCACTGTTATCAAACGCCATAGCAAATACTCCGGCTTCACTGTCCATTGATCCAGGTTGTACAGGAGCCTTTTTAAATAACACATATTTTGACATAAATAATCAATCAAAATAATTTACAAGGCTACAATGTGCATAACATATAATATTATAACAAATTACATACCTGCATCCTCTGAAAATTATAACCCGTTCTCCAATCCCAAGCATACATTGACCCATTGTTTGCTCCAGACATCAATACTCCATCGGAATTCACAGCCATACAGTTGACTATAGCATTATGACCAGTAAGATTTTGTATAAATTTCCCATCTGGGCATGTCCATTGTTTTATATTATCTGGACTTGCACTGGCAAACATGTACCTTAAAATCACACACCAATAAACAGTTAAGTAAATTATTATGGTGCTGCAAGTATTAAATAATATTTAAAACTTACACTTTTGGATGTAAAACAAGTGACCTTACACTTTTTTTGTGATTTGTAAGAGTTGCACGAGTTTTTCCAGCAGCCAAATCCCATAGTCTAATTGTACAGTCATGAGATCCAGTCATTACCTAAGCAAAAGCCAAAAATATTAAATCAAAGTTACAAAAAGATATTAATAAGACATTTTCAAAACGTTGAATAAATTATTTATTTAAACTATCATACTTGAGGTTCAAATTCGTGGGCAACAACACTGGCAACTGTATTCGTATGTCCAGTAAGTGTGTGAACATTGGCTTTTGTACGCATGTCCCATACTCGAGCTGTCGAATCTCGTCCAGCAGTTAATAATACGTCAATTGTTGGATGTAACGCAAGACTATACACAGCACTCAAATGTCCATGATAATGTCGAACTACTTTATTATGTTCCAAATCCCAACACTTCACTTGCCTATCTTCACCACAACTGAATAAATAAGGGTGTCTAGGACTTACTTGTAAGCCTCGCACAGTACTCACGTGCCCAGTTAAGGAAAGTTTTAATTTTCCAGTCGCTAAATCCCAAATCTAGAACCATAAAAAATATATCAATTACAAATTATTAAATATCATGAAAATAATTTTGTAATATTACTTTAATAACTCGATCAGCAGCACCAGTAGCAAACCATTCATTGCCAGGCTCAACAGTAACACATCGCACCCAACCCAAATGTCCAGATATTACTCGATATAACTTCCATGGTGGATGCCATTTTGGTTTTGGCATAATATGATTAATCAGTCGATTAGCTGCAGCTATATTTTGTGTACTTGGACTCGATAACACCATACTGGTCTCTGTGTTTTTATTTACTTTCTCAGGATTATCAGCTAAAAATTCAAAAATTATTAGATATAGTGTATAATAATTAATAAACAACAATCAAGTATCTTTACTTATGGCTAATGGAAGATGATTATCTTTATAGATATCAAGGTTATCTGATTTAGGAAGATTTGGTTGAGATTTCTTCATGTTTATCTTATTGCGTTCGACTTTGTCAAAAACAAGACCATAACAATCTCGAGCCTTAACGAGTTTTTTTATCTTCTCCCTAAACACAACAATAAAAAAAGGTTTATAACATTGTTTGATTACAAAACAGAGCTCGAATCAACTTACGCTTCTTCGTCTATTGGTGGTAGCATCCCTTGACACGATAAAAACATATCATGAGTCCTTTTAAGTGACCTAAAAACTAATGTATGAACAGAGTGCCGTTGTACTTCCTAAAGAATAACGAAACAAGATTATTAAGTAAATATATTAAATATTAATTAGTAATTAAAATCCATGAACATTTTTGAACAGTTTTTACCTCTGAGAAGTTCATTGCGTTTTGACTTCTCGTTGACATATTGAATATTGATTCGTGTAAGCGGCTATTTTAGCGTCCGATATCGGCGATCGTTAAGGTTTATAGATATTGTCTATAAAGTATTATCTTGGTGAGCATGCACGTACTTTAATCGTACCATGCCCACGTTTTAAAATAATATATTGATATTCTTATTTCTTAAATCGTGACAATAACCGGTAGCGACTTCAAGTATGTTTATGCTTACAGTACACCACAAGTTCCGTTGGGAGCGCTAGCACTGAGCGGGTTTTTGTTTACTTTGATAAGAACATATTTCGACGCCGGTCTCCGTTTTTCTTTGGCTACTGGCTACCCGACTACCGCCTACCATTTAAATATTTTATCACGACTGTCCCGTGATAGTGTGATGTGGAGAAGAAGCCGATCTTCTCTACGACATGACTACATCGTGTGCATTTAATATATTTTCTATAGATTAGTGGCTACTAAGTACCTACTAATACTTCAGACCGTAACGCAACCAAAGTATTTATGGCCGTGTTCCAGTCACCGACCTAGTTCGTATCATATTTTTTAAATCATACAATTTGTATATGTTAGGATTTACAGTTGAGATTCTGTTATATTTTAACGTTCAACCGATCGTACGTAAAAATGTCAGTTATGACCGAGAGTCGACATTAAATT